AAGAGATGACAGGGGACATGACAACAAAATACTCAACAATTGAAATTTTGGGTTTTTTTTTAATTAAGTAAAATTCAGATACCACCCTAGGTCAAAGTGAACTCTGAGAATTTTTATCCCCCAAAAAAGAATAGTATCAAGAGGTTCAGTCATCCGTGCTTCTACTGGCACTGTTATTGCAAGCAGGAAGGCAGTTTTATTTAGCAAGTGAAGATGGGGACATGCTGTCAGCGGTTTAATAGCTTTCCCATTTAAAAAAAGAGATAGAAGACTTATTGTCAAATTGAATCCGCAACAAGAAGAAAAAGTTCGATTAAACCTTTCAAAATGTGGAAGAAAGAAAAAACCTTTACTCCGAGGACGCAGAGCTGCAGCGAAAGGAACCTGGATGGAGCTGACAGACATCAGAGCCCCTTGGCACCATCAAGTAGTCCAGGCTTGCTGACAACACATTCACCTTCTGTAGCACCATCTGCCACGGGCTTCGGTCACTTTGCCAAATAACTCTTCCCAGTACACAGGCTTTCTGCTGCTAATGAGGACGCATCTAGCAGAACAGGAACCCCAGTCAAACTCCGACAGCATCCCAATTACATGGAAAAAAGATCCAACCACAGATTTTTGGACAGCGAAGCACGTTAAGAACTTGACAGCCAATCTTCCTGAGCAGGCAGGAGAAGGAAGCTGTTCAGAGTTCCGAAAGGCAACACGGTAACAGACCTCCATGTGCCAACTTTAGAAATCAGGGAGGAAGAGAATCAATTTAAGTGACTTGCACCATTCTAGCTACTGGTGCAGATGACTGTGACAGTATTATCCATAATTAATTGGATGAATTTTCTTGTAACATACAGTAAAAGGGAAAAAGAACATAACCGGCCATTCTGAGCTGCACTATATTAATACACACTTCTCACTCAGCTCAAATTCTGCGTTTTCAAACCGGAGCACAGAGACTCATCTTTGAGCATGGCACTGCACGCAGAAGTAGACAGCATCCCTTTGCAAATGCTCTCTGGCACGTTTGACTGACAGAAGATGACAAAATACTGTCACACATATTGAGCAACTGCTGGAAAGAGAAGGTTGTTCAAGCTACGTTTGCAAAGCTGGTGTGCCAAGTCTGGTATATGGAGCCATGGAGTACAGCTGCCATATGACCCAGCAGCTCCAGGTGGGACCTGTCCAGGATGCCGCAAGATTTGCCAGGATGCTACTAGTTCCCACAGGAGACAAAACCTGACAGTCCGTTCTCTAGAAAGCCCTTGATAGATGGGTTAGTGTCTTTATTAGGAAGGAGGAAAGTGTTTCAGGACTTCCAGATCCTCAGCTAAGGCTGGAGCCCAAATTGGTAGAAAGTCTACATCAGTCCTTACCCTCAGATAGGATCTTAAAAAAGCCACAGTTGGGAAATACAGATGCAAGGAGCATCTTCTAGGAACAATTCCAGACAAATTAGTACAGCAGCAGCATCACAGGCATCCAGGAAGGTTAGAAGAATAGAGCTGGCACCTACAGCTACGGAAGACTGAATCTTTCCAAACGCCTCTTGTAGAAGACCAAATAGACAGAAGATAGAGGAACTTAACAGGTCTCTGAAAACAGTGATGTGTAACTGGAATCCAAAACTGTATCACAGCTGAAAACAATTTCAAGTGCAAAAGAAGTCAACGTATATACGGATCTCAGTTGCAAATGAAAGCTTTTGCTTGACTAACTGCAAAAGAAAACAACTGCCAAAGAAGTTGTTAGGCTAGGCAAGGAAACAAATTCCTCCTACATCAAAAGCTCTGATTCTTATGAAATAATATAAAATAAATAAGAAACCTGAAACAAAAGAAACCCCCACACATCATTAATCATAGGCAGAAGACCAGTGCTAATGTCAATAAGATGGTACTTCAGCTCAGAATATTCCTCTGCAAGAAACTTGCAAAAATCAAGGCAGTATTTTTAAAATATCCAGAATTGCCTCATTATCATTTTATGTCTGTAAATGAGACTGTGTTTCAGCAAGGGCAGAATATTATTCCAGAAACAGCAATAGGGATGATGTATTCACAAAAACATCCAGCTCCTAATTCCAAGAATGGACTTGAAATTTAACTACATATATAGTAGTTGAATGTTAATTTAGGGTTAGAATGAGTGACTGCTCCTGATTCACCCCTGACTCACGAGGCCCCCCAAAGCACAGTGACAGTGATGCTTAGGGCACATCGCTCCTCCCTTGCAGCAGAATATGCAATATAGGCAGCCAAACTCACAGCAACAAAGGACTCTGCTTTGTGTCATCACAGGCAAGGTGATGCTGGAATGAAAGGGTGACAGTAAGGTACGGTTGTCTGACCCACAGACTTCGGAGATACGGCACAACTACCCGGTATTTTCTCACGTATCTTTGGGCATATTCCTGCAACAAGGGTGCTCCAAAAAGGAATGGAAATGTTTTTAATTCTCTCTGGCCTCAATTATATACCCTTTCTGAGTATGTTTCTAACTGCAACAGTAAGATGCTCCTACCAAAGGAGAGACAATTAATAAAGTCTGAAAAGGAAACACTACATCACTGCAAAAGATCCGTCTGAGCACGGAAAATTGACCAAAGTTGAGCAGTTGGCCACAGCATCTTAGGATCGAGGCCAGTGAAAAAAATACATGTATCTTCAAAGATATCAGAGGGCATTAATAATAATAATTAAAAAAAAAAGGTGCACTTGTAAAAGCATTAGATATGGGAGTCCCTTGGATCAGTAACGTGGTTTTACAATTATATTCAGCCCCTCCTTCTGCTGAAGTTCTTGAGCATGTCACCACAGATGATAAAATACCATTCCAATTGCACTGCTTGATTGTACGGGCTCAGTCAATCTCTTAAGTGATCCTAAAGACCATTTCTCTATTAGACTAAATAGTTGCTTAGCAAACGCGTAACAGGAAAATCAAGAGCAACATATGCAACAAAAGTTTCTTCATCAGTTTTTCATCACTATTCCTTGACCATCCATATCAAGTAATTTATATAGAAAACACATCCCACAACTCCAATAAACACTTTCTGAACACCTGCCTAGGAAGAAAACAAGATTTGCCCCAGGGAAATTCACTTGATTTGACTTGCAGGTGCAGAATGATCCAATAAAGCCCCTTTCATTAAACAATATCAACTACATTTCAAAGGATAGCAGCAGCTTCAGGATGGATAATAAATGATAAGCCGCTAATCCAGTAACAGGTCTCAGTGCACCTGCCCATTTTTTTGTTGTCCAGCTTCAGATAGAGACCTGATAGGAAGGAGAAATATCTGGGTGTCCCCCCTACTCTCCCCCATACACAGAGGGCCAGTTTCTGCACATCACTGAAGAGGGTCTCCAGATCACAGAGCAAGGCCAAAATTGCATTTGTTTGTTAGTGAAGCCATTTTGAAGGGCACTGACCCAGACCCTGCCCTTTGGTTAACATCTACTTTAAAGCAGTGCCTGCAAACCCCTTCCCCAACTTGCCTGAGGCTAGTGAGAGTTTGACAAGCTGTTACTCCTCCGCTAACAACAGCTCCAGGCTTTGGAAAAGTGTGGAGGACAGGGGAGGAAAGCTATTGCCAAGGGGAACAAATTCCAGAAGCCAACAAGCTTTCCGTGTGCCATCTGATGCTGACAAAGAAGCAGCCTTTATGGCACTACTTAGGGAGGACATCAGCTGAAGAGAGAGAGCATGTCTCTGTGATCTATGTATGCATGTATTTTTAAGGGGTATAAAGTAGAATGTTAATCCTTGCTACTCCCAAGTTATCTGTGCCCACTTGTACATTATGAAAAGTTTTCATGTGCTAGAACAGACCAGTCCTCTGTAGGCTGGAAGACAGACTCTTCTGTAAAAACAATGAATAATAAGATCAACAGGCAGCAGCTCAGCATGTAAGAAAATTCATTCAAACCAGAGGTTTTAAAAAATAATCCAAAGTAATTTTCTACAGAATAAAATTCACTTGTGAAGCTCATTGATAGAGGATGTTATAGAGGGCAATATATGAATCAAAAGGAAACAAAATAAGGTCAAGGAAAATAGGACCCAAACATCTCTCAAGAGAGAAGCAATCTCCGTCTCATCAACTAAACAGCAAAATACCAGAACTAATGGGCAACCTCAAGACAACGAGCATTACAAGAAATAGGACGTTAGGCAAATACAAGCCTCTGGGGAAGCCTTCTGTCACTCGGCCTTGGGTCTCTAAAAATGCAGAAACAATATATGGTAAAACTAATTCAAGATTATGCTATTCCCATTTTCTGAGCAGAACTGAACATTTGCATGAGAAGAAACACAACAGCACATACTGGGTTAAAAAGTGAGGAACAATTACAAGTTCACCTATCCTGATTTCTCATTTGTTGTTGTTATTTATTGTTAAGGTATTTCGAGTTGCTCCATTTGCAATGTCTTGTTAGGACAGAGCGTTCAAGCTACCACTGATGAAAACCTGATTTTAAAAATCAGTCTGAGCCCACTCAACACGAGACAAGGCAAAATAAAAAAGCAGTAATGTTTCTGGTGCTGAAAGACAGTATTTTGTAGGAACAAAACACGTAGCATCACATGTTAACACATTTGTGGGTTTTTTTTTTTTTTAATCTATCACCTACAATTTTTCTTAACAGACTACTGTAATGTATACACCTCTGCAAATATTAAACTAGTACTGCCATCACTATTTTTGTTGTTTTTAAGCAAAGAAAAAGTCACGTTTATTTTGTAGTAGCAATAGTTTCTTTTTTATTTTTAATATACTTTAGGAAACAATATACAAAGCTGAGCTTTGCCACCATTTTCAAACGGTGGGTTGCTCCAATTACACAAATTCAGCGTTTTGTGATGGTTAAGAACAGCAGTCAGCACCAGACTTAAACAGTTAGCTACAACACAAACATCCTTCGAAATGAAATGTCATAATATCAAGACAGGTAAACCAGGAGTTAACATATGACAACTGTTGGGGAGGTGTCTTAAATCGTTCTTGTTGAATTTTATATTTCATTAAATATTTTATACACATTTTCCTGTTTACAAGTTTTAAACAAAACCTCCCTTGAGGAATTATTTAAGTACAAAAATGTTCAACAAGAACAGTTCTAATAAAGAGTCCCCAAACAGACCAAATTTTAATGTGTTGACCAAAGGAAATGAAAACCAGTGTTTCTTTTTTTTTTTAACATGTTTATTACAACAGATACAATTCACATCTGACTAGCTTTTTTTTTTTCCTCTTTCCCCTCCCACAACCATGTTAACATGTTCATTGGGCTATTTCCTTATATTTGAGCAAGTAATGTACTTTCAGCACACATGCCCAGCAGTACTATAAGTCCATTCTTACAGGGTGCAAATGGAAATACGTTTCAATAATTTATACAAACAAGTGGGTTATGCTCAATCACTGCAATTTTAAGCTACTGTACACAGGAATGAAAAGATTATAGAAAAAGTGCCATAGCAACAGTGCCTTACGAAAAGAGAAAATTAGAAGCATTAAAAAACTGATAAAATCAGATTTAGGATTTCACGGGGAAATGGAACACAGAAAATGAAAAACATTTCTCTGTAAAACAGAAATGGAGAAGCACTGCTCTCGATTCGGTGCAAGTGTGGAAACAGTTGTTTCATGATATTTTGTACATTACCCAAATTGTTGCAGCCTTAGACACAGATCGCCTGGCGCTTGCATTGAATTTTAGGAAATGCAAGATTTCTGAACGATAAATTAACAAAAAAAAAAAAAAACCAAAAAAAAAAGAAAGCTAATTTTGGGGACAGGTTTACATGTAAAAGGCTAGGTATTTAGCCACCTCAGCATTGATTAGTTTTGGATGTCTAAGCTCTGATACACATGGCTTCCCATGGCTTCACTCTACAAAACATATTTACAACGTGAAGAATACATCTACAAGAAATCTACATTTCAAGGGTTTTACAAATCATTCTTGTATCTTTCCCCTGAATTTGACTCCCTCCTGTCCCCTTCCCCATGTCAACTTTTTTTCTGCCCAGCTCAACGGTCCAAAGTCTACTCAAATGCAGCTCAAAAGTGTTAAGACTGGGCATCAGTTTAATAGTTCCTGTACTCAAAACCATGTGCAATTGTTTACAACTTTTCACACCATGAAGGAATTCTGATTCTTTAGCTTTTCAAGTTCTTTAATTTGTTGCCTCAAAAATAGTATCCTGCAAGAGAAAAGAAATAAATTAGTATAAACATTTCCATATACAGAGATATTAAGTAAGTATCTACAGAAGTACTTCTACAATTTCAGTGAAACATACCAAGCTCCTTAGCTCTATTAAAAAAATCCATACATTTTTAAATTCATTCCAAATCTGTTCAATCACCTATAAACACCGTATGCAGATGCACACAGACATGCTGTGTTCGATACCTTAGTTCAGAAAATTAAGTTGCTATATTGTGTTATGACTGATACACAATTATGTTTAAGCCTGCTCTTCGCTTGAATTTAACTCCCAGAAAAAGCGGGACACTGCAAGAGTACACCGAGTAACTGAATACTCTGAGAATGGCATTATGCCTGTGTCATGCAGTTTTCCAGACTGCATACGACATCCCAAAGAGATCATAAATTTTTTTAAACAAGCAAGTTTTCTTCTAGGTGGAACACTTTTTTCCTAGTATTTGGCTCTGTGGCTAGTGGTAGTCTCTAGTTATGGTAAGCTCCAATTTCAAAACATTTGATCATTAAAAGACATCTAAGGAAAAAGCTGTAACTACACCTGGCTTAGAAATAAACTATATTGCTAGCAATTCCCTTATACATTTTTTCCTTCTTCTACTGAACTGACATAAACAATTATTGTGATTAATGAACACTTGGTTTACATAACTGTTTCCCAGAATTTTTAATGTATATTTTGAAACAACTTTTCATGATGCTGAAGTGTAATGCAAGCATGTGACTGTATTAAGAAAATATTCAGGGAAAGCTGAAGTTTCATATAAACATTCTACAAGGTCCAAAGCAACTTTAATCGATGCAGAAAAAGCAACTGCTTCAGAAGACTTTTGTAGAATGCTTTTCAAATACGTGCCCAGTTTAGTAAAAATAAATTTTCTACCAAAAAGTAGGTGAAAAATTATTAAGATAGACACACTGAAAAAAACATTAAACTTATAAAAAACATAAAAAAGTGTGGGCATATAAAATATATGAGGATAAAAAGTGCTTTTTTAAGTGCTTGCAGTTATGGTTAAAACTATATACTCGCTTTGCCTAGAGATAAAGTTCCCTCTTAGAACAAATTTAAATAGTTCTGTGCAAAAGTGCAGAAGTAATATCATAATTTAAATGTACTGGCTTTGAAAATCCCATCCTTTCCAAAAGCCTCCCCCCACCAACTTGTTACTTATGCCATGTATTCCACATCTTTGGGATTGCAGCAAAAATAAAAGATACATGTTATCATAGATTCAAAGTCATAATAATCATTATCCATTAATAGCTTAAGGATACACAGTGTACAAGAAACAAGGTGCTATTTAGTGAGCTGAACAATGACATTTGACATGTTATTTCAGATCTAATGTGCACCCCAAGACAGAAATGAAACCTTAGGAGATGAAACCTATAAGAAACCAAGCAGTTCATGAAATATACTACAGGAATTGTAATTTATGTAATGAAGTTATGAAATAAAATTTCAGAAAGAATGGATAGTTTCGATTCTTTATTAGGCAAGACTTACAAATGTATTATAGCCTACTTCTGAGTAAAAGATTGTTTTACTAACTGTCAAAAAGCACGAGCTTCTAAGATAAAGCTAGCTATTTAAACAGCATGCAATGCTATTAAAGCATCTTAAATAGTAAATCAGAATCACTGTACTCAAACTGTAGTGTGACTTAACAGATGGGATAACATCACTCAAAAAGGAAACAATATGAAAGTAGATTCAGGATCATGACTACTGGCGAAAAGTTTCAGCATGTCTTCTAAGACAAAACTTTTCAATCTTGTACAACAGTCCTCAACAACGTGGTTGCGTATTGCTTCAACGATACACGCCACCTGCTATTACTAACTTAAGAAGCAAAGTCTACTTTGCTACAATCAACGTCTCGTTAAAGAACCCCAAGATCTTCTCAGACACCTCCTACCTAAGTAACAAACATTAATTTTTCCTTAACTTGTGATATCAACACCACCTGTGAAAACTTGCTCTGGCTTTAGACCTAACAAATGTCTCATGCAAACTGTAGTGTTTAAGACCAGTATAAACCATACAGATGTGTACCTATGTGATCTACGCATCATGTACAGACAGATATTTTAGAAGTATGCTGAACTAGTGTGAATTAATAATTTTTTCCTAATGCACTAATGTATCTGGAAAGATACTTCTTTTCTATCTAAGTGAAAATACATACAGAAGTTGCATATTCAGTTCTACTGACTGGTGACTAGAAGGTAACTGTGTGGGAAACATGTAGAATGTACACAGGGAAGACAGCTTGCAAACCTGGCAAGTATTACCATACTTACAAAGTCATCAGTAAATACAGCATATGCAAAACAATGTCAGAATGGGAATTCTAATACCACCCTGAAAATTACTATATTGAAAATACAGGGCACACACTTACCTTTGCTCACGCAAAGTTGCTTGAATTTCACATACTCGAACTAAAGACCTTAAATTCTTTAATTCAGTACAAATTTCTGACATATGGACACTTCCCATGTTATGGGCTTCCTCACGTAATCTTGATGCCTGCAACGGTTACACATAAAGGTTAGGACTTTGAATCACGCAGTTAGGTGGAAACAACTGGCTGTAGCCAGAGGATTGCTGGATGAGTGTGTCTTGAAACAGCAAAGCACTGTAACTTCAGTGGGGAACATTAAATCAGAAGTACATTAAATTCTCTACAAAAGCCCATTTAGAATCATAAATGAACAACAGCAGCTGCCAAGAGATTGTCTAACCCAGGCCCATGCTAAGGCAAGGATGTTTTAGATTTCCTTGATCTTAACACATGTTTACCCAACCAACTTGAAAGATAGTACATGACAGGGCTCCGAGTTTCCAGAGTAAGTTGTCAAAGTAGTTAAAGTCTCTGTCGACTACTTCAACGGCAAATTTAAATTTCCCACCTAAATGAAGCCTTAGTGACAACAAAAAAATTGAATGCCATCTTCTTTCCAGCTACCTTATACAGGAAAGAGAACTTTGCAACCCTTTTCAGGTGTTCTCTTCCAGATAAACTTCATTATTTTAATATCCCCACTTAGTCAGGTGGAGACAAGCAGAAGGGTAAATGTAGAAGGCATGACCTATCCCCAATTTATGCATTTCTTAAAGTCCTGTCACTGGCTTGGATATTCGACTCCACAGAACTCCTCAACAGCACCAATGAGACTAGTATAATTACTCTGAGGTCTTGCATATCACACTGCAATAAGGAAAGCGGACTTCTTGCAAGTGGCACACTGAAAAAAAGTATTTTTCAAATAGATCCTTTCCTGCAGTATTACTGTTTAGCAATGTTATTCTCCGCTCAGCTCGGATGGAGTTAATTTTCTTCATAGAAGCCCATATGGTGCTACGTCTTGGAGCTGTGACCAAAACAGTGTTGATAACACACCAATGTTTTTAGCTATTGCTGAGCAGTGCTTACACAGCATCACGGGTTTCTCCCTTTCACACTCTGACCCTCCCCCAGCAAATAGGTTGCGGGTGGACAAAAGGCAGGGAGGGAATGCAGCTGGGACAGCTGATCCAAACTGACCACAGGGACATTCCATACCATACAATGTCATGCTCAGGAATAAAACCGGGAGGCAGTTTTCCAGGGGTTGCCATTGCTCAGGGACTGGCTGGGCATTGGTTAGGTGGTGGTAAGCGACTGCTTTTGCATCACTCCCCCCCTCCCTGTGCTTTTACTTATTAAGCTGTCTTTATCTCAACCCACAAGTTTTCTCACTTTTGCCCTTCCAATTCTCTCCCACATTCTACTGGGGGAGAGTGAGCAAGTGGCTGTGTGGTGTTTAGCTACCTACTGGGGTTAGTCCACAACATCTGTTTAAGTACTTCTGTACTTGATTTTTCCTCCCCCAAAATAACAGTATTTAGCACAGGTCTTCATCAACGTCTGGCATTTCTCCAGTTCAAAGAAGCACTTTGTGTTCTAATTCCCTGCGTGACAAGTATTCTTTTCTGGAGTGTGTTGACATCCAGGAGTGCCCTGGTCTCCAGTAGGAGATCATTTCACATGTCCTCCCTACACAATTCCAAAGCCTTGAGACTGATAGTAAATTATCAATAATGACTTTTGAAGTACTTCTTTTGAAGCTGACCAGCCACCCATCTTAAAGTAATCTCATTTAAAAGGCCTTGGAATAGTTTTTGCATACAAGATTCTTGTTAAAAGGTGTTAACAGTCTTGCCACAAATCAGGATATAACGTTTATTGCATTCCTGTATTACCAAAGCCTGATATCAAAAGAAAAAAACTGACATAATTTCTTTCTAAAAGGGTCATGCTGACTATTATCAGGGCTTTCTTTTCAGATGTTTATAAAATGGTAAATTGATTGTTTTTTCTACTTAGATATTGCTCAATACTCAAAGTACCTCTACAGCTACTGAGTTGAGACCACCTACAATTCCGTTTCTTACATTCCTTAAAGATAAGACAGTTATGTTGATTATTTTCCAATTAATGACACTACTGGACTGTTTTCCAGTTTTCCACATTAACTGCTTCTTATGAGTTCTGCAAGATAACTGCTAGTGGTTCAAGAATTGTTTTACCTACTAACTACTGCACAGTACATTTCTTCAAGTCTGACTACTTTAACACATACCTGTCCCGGCTCACATTTACTTATTTATTTTTCAGTTTACTCTGGCATGTGCTCTTACGCCCCAATTTCAATTTAAGCTATACATCTGCTTAGAAATCTGAAGAAATCAAGGCACTGCATACTTTAGCCCCTCCACTTTCATCTAGCTTACCTTCTTCACTATGTATTGCACCTACACTTTCATTAACTTTTTCTTTTATATCAAATATCTGAGTTAAGTCCCTCAGTGTTACTATTCAAAACTGGGCTGTAAGCAACACTGTCACATGAAATTGTCTGAAATTGTTAGCAGACAGGACAATACAGTATGCAACACTTGGCACAAAGGTAAAAGTATCCAACTGAGTACATGACCGCTTAGTATTAGCTGGTTTGGTTTTTTTTTTTACTGATAGTGAGGAAAAAAGGACCTGTAAACTGTAAAAATCTGTATTTTCTGTGTTATGTATTTTCAATTCATAACACAGTGAAGGTAACGTTCTCAAAACTAAGGGCCAAGGCCGTAGAGAACTGGCTGTGCTGCACCATCTCCTTAAACACATACTCCACAGCAATGGCTCGGTCATTTAACTCAGTTACAGGTTGATAATGTCTTAAAATTGAATTAAAAAAAAAAAAAAAAAAAAAAAAAAAGAAAGGTGAGCAAATCAGCCATGGAATTTTGAAAGGGGGAGGATGGTGAGAGTTAACACTGGGCTACACACCTATGACTATTCATGGATGGACACATGATGCCTTTGCTGCTATCTCAGTAAGATGAACATACTCGAACTAAAGACCTTAAATTCTTTAATTCAGTACAAATTTCTGACATATGGACACTTCCCATGTTATGGGCTTCCTCACGTAATCTTGATGCCTGCAACGGTTACACATAAAGGTTAGGACTTTGAATCACGCAGTTAGGTGGAAACAACTGGCTGTAGCCAGAGGATTGCTGGATGAGTGTGTCTTGAAACAGCAAAGCACTGTAACTTCAGTGGGGAACATTAAATCAGAAGTACATTAAATTCTCTACAAAAGCCCATTTAGAATCATAAATGAACAACAGCAGCTGCCAAGAGATTGTCTAACCCAGGCCCATGCTAAGGCAAGGATGTTTTAGATTTCCTTGATCTTAACACATGTTTACCCAACCAACTTGAAAGATAGTACATGACAGGGCTCCGAGTTTCCAGAGTAAGTTGTCAAAGTAGTTAAAGTCTCTGTCGACTACTTCAACGGCAAATTTAAATTTCCCACCTAAATGAAGCCTTAGTGACAACAAAAAAATTGAATGCCATCTTCTTTCCAGCTACCTTATACAGGAAAGAGAACTTTGCAACCCTTTTCAGGTGTTCTCTTCCAGATAAACTTCATTATTTTAATATCCCCACTTAGTCAGGTGGAGACAAGCAGAAGGGTAAATGTAGAAGGCATGACCTATCCCCAATTTATGCATTTCTTAAAGTCCTGTCACTGGCTTGGATATTCGACTCCACAGAACTCCTCAACAGCACCAATGAGACTAGTATAATTACTCTGAGGTCTTGCATATCACACTGCAATAAGGAAAGCGGACTTCTTGCAAGTGGCACACTGAAAAAAAGTATTTTTCAAATAGATCCTTTCCTGCAGTATTACTGTTTAGCAATGTTATTCTCCGCTCAGCTCGGATGGAGTTAATTTTCTTCATAGAAGCCCATATGGTGCTACGTCTTGGAGCTGTGACCAAAACAGTGTTGATAACACACCAATGTTTTTAGCTATTGCTGAGCAGTGCTTACACAGCATCACGGGTTTCTCCCTTTCACACTCTGACCCTCCCCCAGCAAATAGGTTGCGGGTGGACAAAAGGCAGGGAGGGAATGCAGCTGGGACAGCTGATCCAAACTGACCACAGGGACATTCCATACCATACAATGTCATGCTCAGGAATAAAACCGGGAGGCAGTTTTCCAGGGGTTGCCATTGCTCAGGGACTGGCTGGGCATTGGTTAGGTGGTGGTAAGCGACTGCTTTTGCATCACTCCCCCCCTCCCTGTGCTTTTACTTATTAAGCTGTCTTTATCTCAACCCACAAGTTTTCTCACTTTTGCCCTTCCAATTCTCTCCCACATTCTACTGGGGGAGAGTGAGCAAGTGGCTGTGTGGTGTTTAGCTACCTACTGGGGTTAGTCCACAACATCTGTTTAAGTACTTCTGTACTTGATTTTTCCTCCCCCAAAATAACAGTATTTAGCACAGGTCTTCATCAACGTCTGGCATTTCTCCAGTTCAAAGAAGCACTTTGTGTTCTAATTCCCTGCGTGACAAGTATTCTTTTCTGGAGTGTGTTGACATCCAGGAGTGCCCTGGTCTCCAGTAGGAGATCATTTCACATGTCCTCCCTACACAATTCCAAAGCCTTGAGACTGATAGTAAATTATCAATAATGACTTTTGAAGTACTTCTTTTGAAGCTGACCAGCCACCCATCTTAAAGTAATCTCATTTAAAAGGCCTTGGAATAGTTTTTGCATACAAGATTCTTGTTAAAAGGTGTTAACAGTCTTGCCACAAATCAGGATATAACGTTTATTGCATTCCTGTATTACCAAAGCCTGATATCAAAAGAAAAAAACTGACATAATTTCTTTCTAAAAGGGTCATGCTGACTATTATCAGGGCTTTCTTTTCAGATGTTTATAAAATGGTAAATTGATTGTTTTTTCTACTTAGATATTGCTCAATACTCAAAGTACCTCTACAGCTACTGAGTTGAGACCACCTACAATTCCGTTTCTTACATTCCTTAAAGATAAGACAGTTATGTTGATTATTTTCCAATTAATGACACTACTGGACTGTTTTCCAGTTTTCCACATTAACTGCTTCTTATGAGTTCTGCAAGATAACTGCTAGTGGTTCAAGAATTGTTTTACCTACTAACTACTGCACAGTACATTTCTTCAAGTCTGACTACTTTAACACATACCTGTCCCGGCTCACATTTACTTATTTATTTTTCAGTTTACTCTGGCATGTGCTCTTACGCCCCAATTTCAATTTAAGCTATACATCTGCTTAGAAATCTGAAGAAATCAAGGCACTGCATACTTTAGCCCCTCCACTTTCATCTAGCTTACCTTCTTCACTATGTATTGCACCTACACTTTCATTAACTTTTTCTTTTATTTCAAATATCTGAGTTAAGTCCCTCAGTGTTACTATTCAAAACTGGGCTGTAAGCAACACTGTCACATGAAATTGTCTGAAATTGTTAGCAGACAGGACAATACAGTATGCAACACTTGGCACAAAGGTAAAAGTATCCAACTGAGTACATGACCGCTTAGTATTAGCTGGTTTGGTTTTTTTTTTTACTGATAGTGAGGAAAAAAGGACCTGTAAACTGTAAAAATCTGTATTTTCTGTGTTATGTATTTTCAATTCATAACACAGTGAAGGTAACGTTCTCAAAACTAAGGGCCAAGGCCGTAGAGAACTGGCTGTGCTGCACCATCTCCTTAAACACATACTCCACAGCAATGGCTCGGTCATTTAACTCAGTTGCAGGTTGATAATGTCTTAAAATTGAATTAAAAAAAAAAAAAAAGAAAAGATACAAAACAAAAACCCCAGTAGAGTCCAAATGGGCTATCAGTCTAGACTGCACTTCTAAAAGTCATCTTGCAAATTACTACCTAAAAGCCTCCAGTGTAGGCTT